CTTCCGTTGTTTCCCTCTGACATCCTCACCAATAAACTTTCGTATGCATGTCTCCATTTCAGAGTCTGCTTCATTGAAAATCTGAGGTATTAGAGCCATCTCGGTCTAGAGCACACATTTAAAATGTCAGCAGAAAGGAATCATAATCCAAGATCCAGCAATGTAAATATCAGAACATAGAAAAACAATGAAGCAATTAAAAAAAAGCATCATTTCAATACCATGTTTAATCTTCTATCTACAGAGGAATGTCTAGAAGCATGATAGAATTTCGTGCATCATAGGATTTACTATTTTTAGAACTAAAATGAATTCTGAGTCTTTTTCACATATCCCATACCCATCCTCCTCTATATTACATTTAAAGATAATCAACAAGGCCTACAAAAATTAATTGACTTGTCCCTGGCCATCTAGTTATTTGATAGGCCAGTGGTCAGTGCTAAATATGAGATCATCTAAAACACAGCCAAGGTCAAGTCTAACTTTAACTTGATTTCACACACACAAAAAGGCTTTTCTGGTGTGTATTGTATGCAAAGTAGTAGTTATCAGAGATGCTTGCTTCTAATCCAATTTCAGGGTTACTGAAATGTAACTATTGTCTTTGAAATATAGTGAAAGAATGCTTAATATAGATATAAACATGATTTGTCCTATGCTTTAACTGGCTCATCCTTGATTCCATTTATTTTAGGCAAGCTATACCTTTTATCCATTCACATGAAATGCCACTAATTCACACATTTTTAACCAATGTATTTCCTCTGTGGGGCTAAAGAGGCCATTCAGCAGTTAAGAGCATTTGCTGTTCTTTCATAGGACCTGGGTTCAGTTCCCAGTGCAGACAAGAAAGCTTCCAACTGTTTGTAACTCTGAACCCAGTGGACTCAGTGCCCTCTTCTGGCACTCAGAGCACAAGGCATGCATGTGATACACAAGCAGACAAAACATGCATACACATAAAATAAAAGTAAAACTTTTTGAAAAGTGATGAATTTTCCCCCATCATCTTGTGGTAATGTAGATTTGAATTTCACTGCAGTCCTGTGCTGTGGTGCTCCTTAAAAGGAACAACTTCTAGGAGCCTTCAGGAGCTCTAGTTCTTCCCTTTGGTTAGCTTGCCTTACAAATGGATCTCTAAACCCGAAAGGAGATTCAATTGCAGGAAAAGAAAATCTTCCCCTTGATGCTTGGGATCTACCATCCCCATCCACCTCTCTATGCTCATAACTACCATCCTCCACTGCCAGCTAAAAGACCATGGCCTTTTGTTTCATGGTATGGATTAGTATCGCTGCATTGTGCGGAGCGGGGAAAGGACATTCCAAGCTATAACATGCTGGATGTGTTGAGAGTGCATGGTTATATAACACCATATTTTTTAATACAACTGACAGTCTGTCTTGAGATTTAAGTGTTTTTTGACAGTTTTTATGCACCTGTTAATTCAAAGCTCTTAACATATGCCAGTTAAAAAGAGCCAGGCACTAAAACATCTAGCATGAGAGGCTAAATATGGCTCAAATGCAATCTGAGGCAGGCAGGCTGACGGAAACAATTCCTTCCTCCAAGATGGAAATCAGCTGTAGTCTCCAGAGCTGATCATGTCTAGGCAGAGCAGTGGACAATGTCGTCTGATTTCTCAAGGAACAGATATCACAGTCTTCAATGTGGATGCTCACTCTGGACAGTGCTCTGTTCTGCTCGGATGGAGAAAGCTGAATTTGGAAAGATGTTTGTGCTCATAGTGAGTGCTCAGAACTTTATTGGTGTGAGATTAAACTGGAGTCCGTTTAGTACAACTCTGTCTTCTGTTTCACACCTACCCTCCGTTCTCTTCCACATGTAAATAAACAACATTGAGGGCCAATGGCTGAATTTTTTAATGCTGACTCAATAGTTTTCGTGGAATAAAGTTATGCCTTTGCTTATAGTGCAAACTGTACTCTCTGGCTTTAAAGACATAAATAACTGTCATCAACCTTAAACAAGAATGATTAAGGGCAATTCCATTTGGAATGCACTATACACCAAGAAGGAGGAGCTCTGTCTAGTTATGCAAAGTAATCTGTAGTGGAAGTCACAGAACCAGGTAGGGTGACAGTTCCACAAACTTTTGTTTTTGGTCTATGACCCTACATGAGGCTAAGAGTGCCTTTGCTACCTTCCAATTTGAGGTTTGGAATCAGTTTTGCCAAATAGAAATATAACACACAAAGCTGCATATGGAAGCCAAAAAAGTAATGAAAAGAATTTGATTGCCACATTTAAATGAGTAAAACTAAACAGGTCAGAAGAATTTTAATAGTGTACTTAATTCATCTCAGAAATGTTAACAAAATATTGACATTTCACCATGTAATGCATGAATGAGGTATTTTGCATTCTTCTGTGTTGCAATTCAGGGTATATTTTGCACACCTCAGCATAGGAAACATCTGATAGCCAAGTATAGCAAGTGTAGTTGGTGGGTGTTTTTGTTTGGCGTTTGGAGACAGGGTCTCACTGTGCAATTCTGGCTGCCCTCAATCTTCCCGCCTCAGTGCAAGTTCAGTTCTAATATATCATCTTGAAAATATGCTGACAAAAATAACATTTAATGACCATGGAGAATCTCACTAGCACCAGACAGTGGCCAGGGACCTTGGAGAGAATCCAGAAGATTTTTTTTTTCTTTCCCTTTTGACTATAACATTTTTGTTCAAATGTTCCTTTTAGCTTCCTAATAATGGTTATCTGACTCAAAGAATTGTAGGGGGAAAAAAACCCGACACACCAACATGTAAAATAAATTACCTAGATAGAAAAGTGAGGTTTATGTCATCAGAGTATCTAGCCAGGGTTTCAGTGACTCTGTGGTCTCAGAGGATTCTGTACTTTGTGGTCAGGACTTTGTGACAGTGCTTGAATGCTTAGTCAAATAGACCTGGGTTTGACTTTCATACTTATTTATGGAGTAGCATTCTTAAATTTTACTTTTGAGTCCCCATTGCTTCATTTTGAAACAGATATGGCATAAAATCATTAGGAAAAATAAATCAAAATAAATAAACAAGTATATCTTGTGACAAAATACTGCAAAAATATATTATTGCTGTTAAAGCACCCAAAAAGTATCTGGATATTTGGTGTTAAGGGTAAATTTAAGAGTCTATTTAAGATACTATTCATCATTCCTTCTATAACTTGTACAATTGCATTATTATCTGAGTTATACAATTTTAGCAAAACAAAGACATTAGTTACTAAAAAATTACTGACTAGGCTCTAAAAATATCTGCAACAAAATGATCCACTGAAAAAATAATTATTGTTGCTCATTAGGGAAAGAAAAGAACTTTTACTGACTATTGAATATTCTTTTGTTTCAGTGTACCTGGAACCTTTTATATCTTATCTGTAAAAGTCTCTTGATATGGCATTCATTTAGGCATAAGAAAACTGTGACTCAGAAAGGTCATGGGCAGCATGGATAATATATATTATGTGACTCTGAAGCTATGCAACTTTAAGGCACACTATTTCTGCTACATGGGAATGGCCAGTTTTGACTTTATCACTATTCTGGAAATTTCAGCCAACAGCAGGGACTGATAGAGTAACTCAATTAATAGTTAAACAAACAAACTAACAAACACCACACTCACCATGGTGGCTCGAAGGTGGTTGGACATGTTTCTGCTAGCTTCCACTGGACACTAGCCAAAAAGGATGAGTACTGTGCCTACACCTCACTACTGCCTACCTAACAACATGTGTGGACTTTGTCTTCCTACAGTGCCACAGAACATCGCAGCCTACCGAGGGGCTTACTTCTATTGTAAAAACAAACAAACAAACAAACAAACAAAAATCCCAGCACCCTCCCATTCTAGAAATGGAAATGTGTTCAGTGAAATATGTATTTGGCAACTCTTCTCTCAAAGACAGGGGACTGAAACTACACAATGTTCTCAGATCAAGAAGTGCAGCTAGAGGTGAGAGCCACCTAGCTACACTGTGACCCAGGGTGACTTTCCTCGTGTGTCCATCAGGGGACAGTTCTGTTAAGACTGTTTCCTGAGGACAGGAAGGGGACTAGAATGGAATGGCCAGAGAGACCTGCACCAAGTCGGCTAGTCCTTATGCGTGCTTTCAGAGTACGTCTGCTGTGGAAGAAAACCTAAGTTCAGCTGCTGGGGATCTGTGTGTCATCAAGTCTGGTCTTTGTCACCTTGAGGGGAGAGGTCCAAATACAAATCTCCACTCTGATGCCCTGGCTTGCTGAGCAGTTGAAATCTCCTAGTGCTTTGATAAGAAGGCACAGGGAAACAATCTGGTCCAAACCGCATTTATATCCCTTATCTGAAAGGTATTCAGTTTACGTTAAGCAGTTCCTGGGACTGAGGGTGTATCTGAGCATTCGCCTAGCATGTGTGGGGTTCTGGATTCAGATAAACCGCTTTGTGTATATATACTCCTGTGTCTCCCGTGTCTCCTGGGTCCTCTCATTCCAGAACGACTCCTTCCATAAATCATCCGTAATTACTCCTGCTGGTCAAAGGTGAGAGTGAAAATCGCATCTGGGGGGTGAGGGTGAGTTTTCTCTTTGGGCACTAACAGTTTACACAGTTCCACAGATGATGACTTGAGTGTGTTAAGCCTTTATTTACAAACAAACAAACAAAAAAGTTCAGCAGGGCCCATGAGGACAGCATTAAAAATCCCCAATTATAGATGAGCATTTCAGACATTCGTTCTAGACAAACCATCGGTGGATTAAGTCTAGCAAGCCAAATGCTTGCAGACCAAGGCCGCAGCCTGCTTAGACTATGCATAGTGATTCAGAATCGATGCTGTCTCTGGCCCTGGTCACACCCTGACTTCTCTCCAGCTACTTTTGTTGTTGACGTTGTTGTTGTTGTTGTTACAATAGACTGAATTAAAAGGCAAAGTGGTCCCCTATCTCCTCAAAATGGAGTGTTAGGAAACTAGTAAAAAGCCATTAGGCACAGACATTTGGAGTTTTAGTATTTTATTTGGCTTAGAAAAATCTAAGAAGTGATCTAGAAGAAAGTATTTAAAAAAAAAAAAAAACTTTAGTGTTGGGGGAGGTGGGTTGAGGAGATTGGGGGTGGTCTTTCCATTATTTTAATGAAGGAAAATAACACATCTTTTTCAGGAAGAAGTTGCAAAACATGGTTCCAGAAATAAAAACTACGTGCATACATCCACATGAATTTCTGAGCCAGATGCCAAGCCCTTCTCTGAAGCCATGTGAATTTTTCTCTTGCGCATTCGTCGGCCTGAGTCCAAGCCATCTTATTCTTTCCTCACTTCTGTCTGGTTTTGGTTAGTTGCTTCTTGGCATTGCTTCCGCTGGAGCTGAGGGCGTCTGCTCCTTTCTCCTCCCCCCCTCTTTCTCATCCCTCCTCCATCTCTTTTCTTTCCTTTTAAAACTTCTCCTTTGGTGTTCTTTCTCCTGGGTCCCATAATGGCTCTGAGGGGGTGGAAAGGGGGCACAATAAGATTAAACAGCCTCCCACTCCCACACTGTCCATCTCCATCAGATATTCACACAAAATGTAAAGGGCAGGCTCCCAGGAACAGCCCCATATGCTTCTGGAGTGCGAACGCACAGCTCCCTGGTCCACTCCTCTGCAAGAATCCGTAGACCCTCCCCCAGCCTTCCCTCATGAACAGACCCCCATCTTCACCCTAGTCCGACACTGACATTTTGTGCAGAGGCCTCCCTTCGGGACAATCCTTCCTCTTGCTTCTCCGAATCAGCCATTTGAAATCCAAAGAGTTGAAGTTATTGTATTCACTTATTTATAGAATGGCTGTCTTTTATTGGAACGTTCAAGTCGTGGAAAAAAAATCATCCTAGTCACGTGGCCACAGATAAACTTAAAGAGATGTTTTCCCTCCTGAATTTAAGCAAACAAGTTTTGTACATATATGGAATACGTTTTAAAGAGCACCACACCACACCGTTGTCTTCATCTTTTTTTTTTTTTTTTGGTCTGGGCTTTCGTTATGGATTTCAGCTGGAGTTATTTCCGTCAATGTGTCATCACCCATTGGAAGGAAGGGTCACTTAACATCAGAATGCGCATGCTTCAGATGAACATGTCGGGGACAAGGGGTGGCAAAGTCCTTCCCCGCTAATAAATTGACAGTTAGTTAAACTTGAGTCAGCCTCGCGGTTTAATGGTATGGTAAAAACCGAACTGTTTCTTCTTGTCCAGTTCACATACACTGTGCTCTTTTGAAAGAGTTGCTAGTGAAGCAGGAAGCCCACCCTGTCTTCAGAGAACACTTGAAGTCAGAGAATCTTTCATTTAGCCCTATGGGTTATGCTAGAGTTTTCTCAGAGCCAGGGGAACAGCCTTTTGCTGGTGGTATGCATAAGACTTACAAGCAAAACAAACATCTCCACTGTGTATAAAATTTTCTAAAACTGTTACAGGGTTTGTGAGGTGCGGCTCAGTAGTACTGTGATTAGGTAGCTTGTCTGATGTCCTATGATCCATTCCTAGCTATCTCTCCACCGCCCCCTGAAATCACCCCAAAGTTCTCGGCAACTCAAAGGAATTAACACACACAAGTGCAAAGACTGATGGGGGAGAAAATCCTCTCTGGGGTCTAAGATGAGCGCTGAGAACTGGAATTACTCGGCTTGACTGCTTGCAAGAAAAATTGCCCAAACCTTCTCTTGAGTTTGAAGTCTGGGGAATGTCATTTAAATCGCTTCACAGTCGTCCCACTGTGAACTTTTGGATGTCCTGTGTTGCACAGTTAACAACAGGTAGGAGACAAACAGAGCTGCTGATGGCTGTGTCTATGAGATACCTAACACCTGAATAAAATATGAAAACATTCGGCAATGTTTCAATTTTCAGACATTTAAAGGCTGTAAAGGGAAACAGGTCAGAGAGCTGGTGCATTGATCCATTTTCATTCAAGTATTTGCTACTTTGTGTGGCTTCACGATTTCTGTTCTTCTAAGCAAGAAAACAAAAAAGTTGGATACATAACAGCTGTTGCTGGGCATTCTTTTTTTCTTTTTCATCTTTCTTTTCTGAGCTCAATGCCTGCTTTTTTTTAAACTTCTATTTGCAAGTTTTTAAATAATAAAGTTTAAAACAAAAATTTACACAAAATGAATAGTTAAGTTGGGTTGTAGAGATGTGTCCTCGGTGTACACATGTATGAACACACACTTCAAAATCACCAAAAATACCCAGTTATTTTACCTTCTGTCCTGAGTTATTTGATGTATTATTTCATTACTCATCAGTAAAGCAAATAGCTTCAAGAATAAAACTATAAACACATGATTTCTCTTTGTGGCTCTAAATCAGTTTCCTTCCGTTACTAGAGATATTGTCACTGTGGTTGTTAGGTACATGCAGAGTAAATGCATTTTTCTGGTCCAGAATATTTACCCTGTTGTCTTAGTAACCATGTGGATACTACAGAATAGGTAATAGAGTCCCAGAAGAGACTCCATCTTTAATGTCCAAACTTAACAATTTAGTGGAAATGAAAAATTTACCCCAAAATATGCTATTGGTAATCTTAAATGAATGAATCCAAAATCAAGGTGATGAAGATAAATACTTTGTGTTTTGGTAGCATACTCCATTTGGCCATGGAGGTATCCTAATTTCTATTAAGTAGAAAATGGAGAGATGAGGGAACGTATCTACATTGAAAAGCAACACATGTTTGATATTCTCAAATGGATTTTTAATGACTTCTGAAATGTTTTCTAAATTGTGGAAAGGAAAATGTGGAAACTGTTTGATGGAAGTTGATTTTTTTTACAGGTACATGGTATACTTCATGTAGATCTTTCCCTTGAGTCTAACACCCCAGAAATTCTCCTGCTAAGAAATATATTCATAAACCCCAGACCCGTGGGGGCAGACTTGTCACACCCAATCTTCTCCTTTCAAAAGTTCATTTTGCTGGCACAATTGCTCTTGTTCCCCTGGCGTGTGTGTGTGTGTGTGTGTGTGTGTGTGTGTGTGTGTGTGTGTGCACAAATACCTGTGGGTCATACATACAGGAGATGGCATTCATTTCCAAGATATTAAATGCTGTAATCGTGGCCAATTTTAGATTGTAAACGATCAGCATTTCGAGACATTGCTCTTAAACTGTCTGTGAAAAGACCTCCGTATGTATAAAAAGGTTGGGATGATATGGGACTATCTATCAACTTATAAATCACAACATTTAAAAAAAATACTTGAAACTGGCACTGAGAAACCATACAATCAAATAAAAAAATGGAAAACCTTTGAACATGTCCAGATTAGTATAATCTGGTTTGATGTTATGTTTTAATTTTAATAGCAATAAACTATTTTGTTTATGTACATTCACTTCAAGACTCGATTTAAAAAGTATGGCACACATCGTATTTATGCACATGTTTACCACATATTTAAAGACAGATTCTAATGAGGCATGGCTAGAAATACATAAAGGTTTGCATGTCAACACTGTTCCATTATAGAAAATATTTTCCTTCCTCAACTTCATTTCTAAAAATATGAAATATTTGAAGAGGGTGGAGGGTGAGAAAGAAGTACTTTGAATACTGTATAAAGATTTCGAGGGTAACTGGCTTTCTTCCTTCTTTTTTTTCTACATTCCCATTAAGCACAAAAATAAATACATTGGTGCATGGCTTAAACTACGCAGAAAACAAGATGAAGGATGCAGTGTTTCTACAATGTGAGGATGCTATTTGCTCAGCCCTCTTCTGTTATGGCATTCCCAGCATATTTGCTGGACCAAATAAACTTTTGAAAATCTAGTTGTCAAAACCCCAACATTTAGAGCTTTGTAATTTTGAATGAGGCAAATTAAAGTGATTGCAAATGAAATATTTTTATAGGAAAAAAAACCATATACGGCCAAAAGACAGAAAGAAGAGAGAAACAGAGAGAGAGAGAGAGAGAGAGAGAGAGAGAGAGAGAGAGAGAGAGAGATGGTGGGGGAAGAGAAAGAGAAGAAGAAAAAGGGAAGACGGAAAGGGCTAACTTGAGAGAAAGCCAGAATATATACAAAAGTTAGAAAGCAAATTCAAAGACTCTGATAAAATAATCAAATATCAACTTAAACTATGGAAGCAGGGTAACATTACAAAGGATGGCCTCAGCGAACCCCAGTTCTGCAGGCTTTTCTGCAGCCACACGAAGTATATTTTTCAGGAAAATTGGTTGCAGCAGTTGCGCCCTCCGTTGTTGCAGGAGTGGAGAGAATGCGCAGCAGGTCTGAGCGACTCTGCGCTCTCTCGCTACCTTTTCAGTCCCGGCTGGTTCCTCCTCCTAACCATATGGAATCCATCTCACTCAAGGACCTAGCCTGCTGGAAGGGTTTGGGAGAAGCTAGGGCTGCTGCTGGCTGTTTTCACGGCATGCCACAGGAAAGTTTTATTTCCAATTGATTGGTTACAAATCAGATAAATATCGCTTCTAATGAAAGCAGCTTTGAACCGCTGGAAATGTTATCTATAGGAGTCTGGAGTTTATCAGAAGTCAAATGTAGCTTTAATCACATCAACATGCTAATTACAGGCAAACAATAAAAGCTTTAAGAAATGATTGTGTGGGTTTTATTGCTATTGACAGTCGCTGGGGTATATTTATTTCGGGAGGTAATTGTCTGAAGACTTTCCCCACAAAGACTTGTTTGTATAATTAAGCGCATGTTGCGTGAGCTTATCTGCCCATCGGCTTCTGCTAGTTAAGGCTCCCTCAGACCACAGAGGCAATTAAACAAGGAGAGTCAAGGAGAGAGCTTTTCAGTAGTTCATTTGTGAGGGCTAAAAAATAAAATAAAATAAAAAGTGCTAATGTGCCCTGAGGGCACAGGATGGACTAGAATGACAAATGAGGTTAAATGAAAGTTAGCGAGAAAAGCAAGAAAGGTAAACAGAGCAGTCCACGATCAGTCCTATAAGAACAGGGAAAAACCGGAACTAACTCAGTTTCATTTTAGTGTAAAAAAATCAGAGAACGGGAGGAGAGATTGTTTTTTGGTTTGTTTTGTTTCTTTCTTGGTGTATGTATACAAGATCACTCAATAGGGTGGCATAATCTGAAGAGGAGACAAAATTAAAAAAAAATGAATAACAGTGCATGTATGTCCCAGACCCTCTGGTTTTCTTATTTTATTGTGGATTTGTTTTGTAACTCCCCAAAATACCCATGTAAGAGCTTCTAAAACCAAGTCTGGTGGCATGTGGTTGTAATCCCAGAACATGGGAGGCCGAGACAGGAGGATTGCCTAAGTTTGCTACCAACCTGGGCTACATAGTGACTTCCAGGCTATCCCCAGAAAAAAATTTGTGTCCTTAAAGTTTGATAGGACCATCCTGGAGCTATACTTGGACTTGGCTTCCTTTTCCACCCAAATAAACAACACAGAAGAAATGACAGTTGTTGCTCTGGGCATTGTTTTTAAAGCCAGGACATCTGAATCTATATATTTATATACAAAAGAATTTATGCATATTCTATCTGACTGTATTGTGACTGGACCAGAAAGGGAAAAACAAACCTTTCAAACTATAAACTATTTTTGTGCTATAAAGGATCGTTCAAGTGTAAAAGAGAAGGTGAAACCCAATTTAAAAAAATAATATATTGAAAGGTGTTGGACTGCGTTTAATTCTTTCCATTCGCAAATATTGGACTCTGTTCAGTTTTCATTTAATTCAAAGCAATTAAAAATGTGGCAAATCCTTGATCAATTTTTTTTTAACCTTTAAACAGGGTCAGTATTGAAGTTGTTGTCACATTTTAATGGGTTCAGACTCAGTTTATGCAAGAGACAATCACATTTGCTTTTAAAAGCCCTATAAAACCTAAGAGCTTTTAACCTTTTGGATGCATTAATAAAATGCTAATGACATCATGGCCAAGACCACATTTGGAGGTCCCCAAAACCCCAAATGACTGTTGTGAAAAGAAAACAGAATTTTAATCAAATGATCTGTTATTTTAATGGCCACTTACAAAACAGGAGATTTATTGAGAAGCATAAAATTTGTTTGCATGAGTGAAGGCAAAGCTTTTAAGAATTACCTTCCTCTGGTTTTCCCCTCCCCGTTTTTTTTTTTTTCAGCATAATACTACTAAATATTTGTGAATTGTGACTCAAGTCTGAAGGCTTCTCTCTCACAGAATATAAAAGGAAGGCTAGGGAGAGAGAAGAAAACTGGTGCCAGTTTGTCTGCCCAGACTCTGATTTTTGGATGGAGAATTCTTTTTTTCCAGGGAAGGATTTGGTGGGAATGTTTCTCCCTTCAGGGTGAGTTATCTGATATCCATCCTGAGACCAGTCATAAGGCCATACTTTCAAGCAAAACTGTGCAAAGGGAAAAAAGTTAAGTCTTTGGGTAAATTTCTCATCTAATTTACAGCAGATCTCTACCAGTTTCCGCTGGGCAATTAAGGCTCTTTTTACCAT